AGATGAGCAAGCTTATTTTAGCTTTAAGAAGTCTCCACAATTAAGTATATAAGATTTAAAAAGGAAGGAAAACTTATATTAAATATTGGAGGAGAGGGCGAACACCTACGAAGACTATGAGAAGAAAGGGTTAAATAATATTTTTTTATCTTGTGTTAAAAAAAGTGAAGATAAATATAAGAAATTAGATGGTACTTGTGATAGCTTTGCTTACAACTGAAGGAGAAGACAAAGAGGGCGTTGCTACTCTTCTAGTCTCCAATATAACAAGTGGGAAAGGAAGTAGAAACACTCTAGATGAAGAAAAGAGATGGATATATGCAATTTCTTACCCGACAATTGGAGAAAAGAAGGCTGCGAATATACAATGCCCCAACTTTAGTCTCCTTAATAATGAATACATGCTATAATGAGAAAGGTAGGTGGGTGTAAGATTTTTCTGTGTGACTAAATAAATGGAAATAATGGTAAGTTGGTAACAGGGGTTATACATGAAGTTGATTCGTGTAATGGAATGTCATTTATGTTACAAGGTCATCCTATGGTTCAATTTATAACAAGATCAATGGCAGAAAAATTGATTTAGTATGATGTAGTGCTTATCAATGATGAGAGTGCCATAATCTAATATCTAGCAAAGATGATGGTGGTAAAGTGCTTGGGAAAAGATATGTGGGTAATATCTTAATATCAATGGATTTGATGATGTTTGTGATCAATATAATAAGTAACATGCCTATGCTATAATAAGCATATGAGCATGTCTCATGTAAAATGGAATTTGTCCTGTGACACAAAAAATATTAAATTAAATTTAAAAAAGGAATTTGGTAATAATTATTTTAAATAGAAGTTGTTACAAATTGGGCGTTTGGTCTAGTGGTATGATTCTCGCTTTGGGTGCGAGAAGTCGCGAGTTCGATTCTCGCAACGCCCCGCCACATTTTTATAATTTCTTCTTCCGCCTTTTGGAGCGTCAGCAGATTGCAGATTCCAGTCCTGCTCTTCCTCGGCTCCTTGTTTACAGCTTTCAACCACGCGCCCATTTCTCGGTCTTATCTTCGCCGGCCTTCTTTTGCTTTTTCCTTCCTACCGTCCACCGTTTTTATGGATTCCGACTCCATCGATCGCCGGGAACTCCGAAGATTTGGTCGAAACAGCGAGCAGAACATTTTGAACATTCTATATATATATTTTTTCTATGTCAAGCACAGGGGCTGAGCTCAGTGACGTGAGCTTCTAAGTTCTTACCAATAGGGAGTATTAAGTTGCTTTGGATGGCTCAGCTCATCCGTTCCAGGGGCTGGTTTGCATTGAGCGGAAGTCTTGCCCGCCCGATTCAAGATTGCAGTTTCATGCTGCTGTGGGTATAGGCGAAAGCCTAAATTAGTGGCCTCTCTGAAGTAGAGGAGAAAGCGTGAGGGATTGGCTCTAGCTCTCATCATCGGTGTATGAAGAGCACAGGTACTTTACTTTCGTTTTTTGAACATTCTTTATCAATGTTGGAAATCGTTTTGCGGTGGAGGTAAAAATACGCGACTTCGTCTGATGTCGCCGATGCTTAGGTTTTGAATGAGACATGCTCCCCAGATGAAGGTGATCTTTTATAATTTTCAGATGAAGGAGATTTTTTTTTTTGTGCTTTCGCTTTTTGTCCAATAAAAAATTTAGGTTGTGTGGTAAGAAAGACCACTTAAAAAGTTCTATTATTAATTAAATATATTTATTGATACGACATATTATCTCTATATTTGTTAATTTATAGTTACATTGTTTTACAATTGTTGCGTCCTGGAATATTCGCGGCGGTAGAAAAATATATAGTTTAACGATTTAACATTGTATGAAGATCCAGCATACGAATAGATAAGAGAGAGAGTGTAGCGTTCATAAGAGACACCAGAGTTTTTACGTGGAAACCTCTGAAAAGGGGGAAAAACCATGGGGCCTGACCCAATTTGAATGAATCCACTAGTATTTGCAGTCGATTACAAATGAGGCCCTTCCTGGGGAGAAGGCCGTGGCCTGATGTCACAATGTACGTCATATAGAACGCATTACATGGTGTGAATTACAATAATCAATATAGACATGTTTGTTTGGTTGGAAGGGATATAGTCGGCACGAGACAGGGGTCCGAAAGACTGTAGTTGGCAAGAGACCGGGGTCAAAAAGACCGTTGTTTGACAATGGAGGTCAGAAGGACCATAGTAGGCGACATAGGTCGAAAAGACCATCGAGCAGGCCAGAGCGTGCAGGCGGCGCCACGCGGTGGCAAAGGCCGGCGGGCTCCGGCGGCTAATCCGTCCCGACAAACTGTTGCATCCTAGAATATTCGCGGCAGTAGAGAAATATACAGTTTAACGTCTTAGCATTGTACGAAGATCCAACACCCAAGCATATAAGATAGAGACTGTAGCGCTTATAAGAGACACCATAGTTTTTACGTGAAAACCTCTGAATAGGGGGGAAAACCACAGGGTCTGGCGCAGTTTGAATGAATCCACTAGTATTTGCAGTCGATTACGAATGAGGTCCATCATGGGGAGAAAGCCTTGGCCTGATGTCACAAATGTACGTCATATAGAATGCATTACATGGTGGGAATTACAATAATCAATATAGATATGTTTATTTGGTTGGAAGGGCCATAGTCGGCATAAGACAGGGGTCCGAAAGACCGTAGTTGGCAGAAGACCGAGGTCAAAAAGATCGTTGTCTGGCGGTGGAGGTCGGAAGGACCGTAGTAGGTGACAGAGGTTGAAAATACTATAGTCGGCAATAGACAGGGGTCCGAAAGACCATAGTTGGCAGAAAATCGGGGTCAAAAAGACCATAGTAGTAGGGCAGTACTCCGGTAGAAGTCTGGGCATCAGGTGATGGTCCGACAGAAGTCCGGGCTTCAGGTGGTGGTCTGGCAGAATTTCGGGCTTCAGGTGGTGGTACGGCAAAAGTCTGGCCTTAGGTGGTGGTCTGGCAGAAGTCCGAGCCTCAGGTAGTGGTTCGGCAGAAGTTCAGGCGTCAGGTGGTGGTCCGGCGGAAGTCCAGGCCTCAGGTGGTGGTTCGGCAGAAGTCCGCGCATCAGGTAGTGGTCCAGCAGATGTCCGGGCCTCAGGTGGTGGTCTGACAGAAGTTTGGGCCTCAGGTGGTGGTCCGGCAGAAGTCAGACGGTGGTCCGGTAGAACTCTGGCATGGTCGAGGAGGAGCGAGGAGGCAAGAACGATCTCCGATCTCTCTCTTGCTCTCTTGCTTCGAGCCCCCATTTTCAAGAGAAAGTAGCGGTCTATTTATAGATTTATGGAGTGACATGACCCGTAAATAGGTGAGAGATCAAGAGTAAATGGGGAGTGGTTGGATGGTCGACCAATATTGAATCCCTTGATTGTGAACCGTTCCTCAGACATTTGAAGGACTTAGTGATGTCGGAATTCGACGATCTTGGGCTCGATGGATTCGTCTCGTCGAGCCGCTCGATTCGACTATAAGCACATAATGTTTGGAAACCGTTTGGTAATCCAAATTGTGGTTCGAACGTTCCAACAGTGCTTAAGGTCCTTGATTTGGATCCATTTGGACTCGGATTGAGTTTATTTTGGTGTTGTTGGCTTCGTATTTTTGAGATGCTCAGTTCGATGTAAGTTTGTTGAAATCGGAGTTCGTATGGTCCCAATTTTAATTTCGGAAGTTTCCAACTTGATTTTGCTTCGAGATCCGTGCTCAATCCAGATAATTTTTTCATAACTATCAATAATGAAAATGATAAATCAAATGATATGTGTTGGATTATAATATATATTAAATGTGATGGTATCATATCAAAATTTATATGTATATGTAAATAAAAATGGAAAGATTAAGGCTTCATTTAGGATGAGTTTCTTAATGTTTTCTAATGCAGTTTTTTTGTACAAAAATTTTTAATTTAAAAAATTTTTTAACGAAAAAACTGCGTGAAAAAGCAATAAAAGAGCCGCCTCAAACAAAGCCTAAATTATAATATTGAATGAATTGTACTAGAATGGAAAAGGAATATATTATGATACTGAATGAATTGTACTAGAATTGAAAAGGAATATGCATGCAAATACAATATTTCATTCTAGTGCACCAAAAAAATAAAAAAAGATTGAAAATAAAAATGAAAATGAAAATAATTGTGCCTTCATTGATATAAAATTTAAATAGTGCTCTTGAAATAAATGAATTATTAAAAGTTAAAAATTAGAAATTGAAATATTAAATAATATTCAAGTAAAAGATCATTATCAGTATTTATAATTACGTTTATTTTAATTAGAAAGGTTAATGATAAATCATGGCTACTCATATATATATTATTTATTCATTATTCTATCATATAATTGTGATCAAATGCTAAGTTTGATGATGAAAACTCATCAACCCAATTAATTAAATATTTCAAGTAAATCTTCAATTGAGTAAATGAGTAACCGAAAAGGTTTTGTGTACAGAAGAAAAAGTTCAAATAAAAATAGATAATCGATGATTAGTGTCTCCAAAGATCTACAATGTGGTTGATTTTAATATGAAGATGATTAATATAAAAGTATATAGAGCAGATAAAGTATTTTCATATGATTATTATCTTGAGTAGGCATATGATTGAGTTCAATGGGATTTGATTTGGTGCAAATTAAGGCAAAAATGCATGCATGTTAAATACGTGATGAAGTTATCAAAACTGAGTATGCTGGAGGTAATTGGGTGCGACCTAACAGTTTCTAATTATAGAAGTATGAATTTCGGAAAATAGCTGTTGGGAGTTCACTAATATTAAAGAGACTAATCAATAGAGATACTTCAAGTATTGGAGAGTCAAGTAGGCAAAGAATCATAAAGTTCAATTATAGGATACGGTGAAAATTTTTTTTGATGGAGTTAAGTTCTATAAACTTATGTCTAATATGGCAAGGAATGCTGTATGAACGAGTTCACTGTTTTAGTTCTATTCTGGACAATATTTTGATAAGAAATAATCAGATGAAATCAAATTTATTTTACTCTGTTAAAGGGTATGTGGAAGTTAATACAATATACAGTATTGTTGAAACCTTTGGAATTGCCTGCATTCTTCCACTTGAACTGGAGTTGCCAATTCTGGAAAACTTCTTTGATAAAAACAAGAAAATAATTTCTTTTGACCAAATAAAGTTATAATACAAATGTTGAGTCATTTGGAATCCCCAGCAAAAGAAAAAGATTTCATAGCTCCTAATTTAATGGGTTTCGTTCTGTAGTTGAACTAACTGAGTATAAATGCCGTTTGGTTGTCTAAGAAGTTCCTCATGGCTGCCAATTTCATGAATTATACCTTCCTGAAGCACTGCAATAACATTGGCATCACGAATTGTTGATAGTCTGTGAGCAATTAGAATTGTTGTTCTCCCTTCCATGAGTCTATTGAGAGCCTCTTGCACTACCTTTTCTGACGCTGTATCCAATGCACTGGTGGCCTCATCCAGAAGGAGAATTGATGGGTCTTTTAGAATTGCTCGGGCAATTGCCACCCTTTGTTTCTGCCCTCCAGATAGTTGGGCACCCCTTTCTCCAACTTGAGTGGTATAACCTTCAGGCATTCGACTAATAAATCCATCCACATTTGCAGCTTTTGCAGCTTTCAGTACTTCAATTTCTGATGCACCTGGCTTCCCATAAGCAATATTTTCATAGATGGTTGTGGAGAACAATGCTGGCTCCTGCTGAACTAAGCCTATTCTCATTCTCAAGGATCTTAAGTTTACGCTTTTAATGTTCTTGTTATCTATTAGAATTTCCCCGGATGAAGGATCATAGAATCTCATCAGGAGTGATATTACAGAGCTCTTTCCTGATCCACTTTGACCCACCAATGCTAGGCTTCTACCTGCTGCTACATGCAAGCTTAGCTCCTTCAAGACAGTTATATCAGGTCTTGTAGGATATCTGAAGCTTACATTCCTGAATTCTATGTCCCCCTTGATTTCTTCCACCACTTCTGAACTTGGGTCATTGGCATCTATCCTTGTTTTCCTTTCCAGAATTGAAAAAACTGAACCAAGAGCTTGTGACCCCTTCACAATGTCTGGTGTGAGAGCCAATGTTTCTGCTATTCCGAGTGATGTAATTATCAGCACCATGAAGGACTTCATGATATTACCAAAGTTGGAGGTTCCATTCTTGATAAGCTGTGCTGCGTACCAAAGACCAAGTGCATAGGAACAAAATGCAAAGGACTGTGATAAGCCATAACCTATTCCTGCTATATGGCCACGTGTGAATGCTTTCTTGTTTGGCCGGTCTAATTCTTGTGTGAACTGAGATGAAACCTGGTCTTCAGCACAAAATGCTGCCACTGTTCTGATGTTAGTGATTGCTTCTCGGGCCACCGAAGTCGCTCGGGCATAAGCCACTGTATAGTTTCCACCAAATCCCTTAAGAAATAGTTGCTGCATAAGGCAAGTTAATTAGATGAAACTATCTTATGAACAAATTCGGTGACGCATTTTGTATTGAAATACCTCAGCTATTGAGGCAGCAATAAGCAAAGGGAAGGTTGCAAGGACGACCGCTGCCATACGCCAACTTAGCACAAATGCTATGATAAATGCTGTCATTGTCAGTGAGATATTCTGAATGATGGTTGACATTCGGTCTGCAACTGTACTTCGGACCAAAGTAGCATCTGCTGCTAAGCTCAATGCCAATGAACCACTACTATTCTCATCCCGATCAAACCATGCAATCTCATTTTTAAGTATTTCTGCAAAGAAGAAGTATAGATTTCATATTTATATTTCATCCCATTTGGAGCGTGACATATTAGAATCTAAACTTAGTATAAAATCTGTGATGCTCAAGCAATAGTATGACAGAAGGATTTGCACTGCCATTGAGATGGTTCTATAAGCTAACTATGTTCCAGAAATAAATATTTTGGACTGACCTGAGATGTTGTATGGCTTATATCTCAAATTCTTTCAACATATTGTAGCATGGAGGTTTATCAAGTGGTTTGTCACTATATAATGTATCCTTTATTAGCTTTTTTGTAGATGTATGCTTAGTTATGCATCAATGATATTGCTTGTTTCGAATTTGCATTTACTCTTGCATCTCCACTGCCTAATGTACACATTTCCAACTGTTTATTTTCCCTGTTTCTAGGACAAATCTTGCAAATAGATGTATGAACATGCATGGCAAATAGTTATTTTGAAAAGGTTGCTCATATTTTGAATGTTTAGCACTCATAGCTCTGTTTACAACCAAATGTGATTCGATTCAACAATTAATGGTGAAAAAGGGGATCAAAAAGTAAAATCCAAATAGTTAGGACAAGGCTTCAGTGGCTTTTGTTGCTATTGATGACTATAATAGGTTAATTTGCCAGTTTTGTTGCAGGGCATGTCATGTAATAAAATCACCTTTTTTTTTTTTTTTTACTTTAGAGCTATTCAAGTTAGAAGAAGTGTCACGGGTGCTAGAAAAGAGATTGAGATAGTAAGGGTGAATGCAATTGATATCACATAAATAACTGGTGTATTAAGCTTCACAAATAGGATATCTATGACCAGGATAGAATGGAAGTTTAGAGAATGGCAAACAAACGTGATATGCCATGCAAATAAACCCAATCTAGAATAGATAGGATATGCAGATTTGTGATATGGATACATGAGGAATAACCTTTAGCTTCTTTTTTTGTTTACTTGCATTAACTTGATGATGTTGCTGTCATAGAAAAAATGAAGACAGACTAACAGGATAATCAATTGTTGAATTTTATGTCAAAAGCTTATTTTATTTCTTTGCTTTTCATTACTTCTCACAATGAGATTGTTGATATTTATATCTCACCCTTCCATTTAGGTTTTAAATAAGGAGAATTTTATACAATTAGTTTAAATTACTTCTATTTTCTCCTATCTTTTCTTTAAAAAAATGGTTCATACATCAATGTTCAAAGTAAAGAGAAATAAACTTATGTTGAAAAAGGCTGTGTATCCAATTCTTACTCGGGCATGCTATAAATTTTGATGAAGTCTGGAGAAACTTAATAACAAATCATTTTTGAGACTTAGAAAAGCCTTTCTAAAGTTCGGAGAGATAAGAAGAGAAAAAAGTGACTTCGGGAACTTAAGGCATCATCCCAACCCCTGAAGGTTCTACACTAATTGTTTGAGAACCCCAATTTATAGTGACAATTACAAAAGAAAGACTATGGTGTTAACAATATCAATATTCTAAATATGCAAATGATATGTGCTAGAAAAATCATTGAAAATCAATCGATTGGAAGCCATCACGCCACTCTTAAGATAAGGATATTCATGGCAACATAGTAGCCATTGTGAGAACTCAAATCTCTGCGAAGCCTCTAGTCCATTAGACGATAAACAATTTGATTTTTACAAAAAATATCTCAATAGTCTTACCAAAATGCTGCCTCTTCTATAGATATTTGTATCCTAGCACAAAAAAACTAAATTTCAAGTGTTTTAAAAGTAGAACTAGAAAATTCAAATCTATGAATTTTGTACTCATGTGCACTAGATCACGTGATCGGACTCAAGTGCACAACAAGCTTTGAAAGTCATTGTATGGACTTAAACAATCTCTATGTGAATGGTTTGATGGACAACCAAAGTGGTAGAGATATGGGATTGCTCAATATCAATTGGATAACATTATGCTTGTTAAATTCTCACTAGAAGGAAAATAGGCCATCTCATTATAGATTTAGATGACATTGCCCTTACCCAAGATGGTCAGGAAGAGATGAATAAAATCTAAAAAACCTTCTTGCAACGAAGTTTGAGATCAAAGACTTCAGTTACCTTAAATGCTTTCTTGACATCAAAGTGGCTCAATTGAGAAATGGTATTTTCATTAGCTAAACATGTGTGCTCTAGGCTTATTAATTTTTAGAAATAAGGATTCTTGGTTGCATATCAACATACGCTTCTATAGATCAAACATATAGGGCTATTAATTTATGTTTGGAGCCAGGATCTCCAATATATAAGTGAAAATCATGATCACAGTGTATCTGATGGCCAAAGCCCTACCATTTACTTCACGAGGAACACTAATTGACAATAAATACCCAAGAATTAATGGATTTATGAATTTTCTGAACCTTGAATGGTAAAAAAATTCTAGTTGAGTTCTTATTCTTCAAAAAACCATTTAAAAATACACACAAAAAAAAAACTCTAGTAAGGTCAAACTATTCCATATTAATATGAATAGTGAGAATAAAGGGTATAAAGGATGGAAAAGCCAATGAACTTCACTGATGCAATGGCCATGCCATAGAAACATTTTGACTTTCTCCTAGACCTTATTCTTGAATGGCTTTGGAGCAAGGGTCCTAGAAGAGACTACTTTGTAACAATCTAATTATGTGTTGCTTAGTGGTTGTCAAAGTAAGTTTTATTTTAAAGGGAATGATTTCAGACCGGTTTATATAAAAGAAACTTTTGCACATATTATTTACTTGTTTATCTAATTGTTTGCAATACTAGTGTCCATGCAGTTTTGTTATCTTTGGCTAATAGATAACTTGATATAATGTGAACTACTATCATTTGATGGTCATGAGGTCAGTTAATAAACCTGAGAACATGTTAAGGCGGACGCGCGAGGTGAGTTTCTCTCCCATCAGTGTATAGAAGTAATGCTGCAAAACATATATTGGTACAGTAATGATTGCTGCTCCAATGAATATGAGAGACACCATTCTGATCTCACTCCTGATATGTGATTTGTCATGTGAATAAAAAGCAGTCAGAACATGAGTGATCCCAAAAGCGAACAGAGGGCCTTCTGCACCAGCTAATATAGCACCCAGTGATCCAGTTACTGCAAATGGCCATTCTGGTTGGTTCAATCTAATTATCTTTCTGATTGATGGGACTGGTGTTGACCTGGCTGAACCAAAATCTTGGTTAATTTCCTTATTTCCTAATGTTTTTAGACCAGCTTTCTCATGATTTCTTTCTACTTCACATGCATTTGTAGAAACTGCTTTTTCAGATGAATTCCTGAAAATGAAAAGAGAGACGTAATGAATTCTTCTATTGCAGGAGAATATCAGAAAATGGAATAAAAAAGGCTCTCACATTGTCTCTTTGTGATCATTTAGGCTTTTGTTATTTCTATGGTCCAATAGTTGTGCATGCACTAGCATTGCATACTCTCCTTTCTCTCCTTTTGTCATCAGCTCTTCATGTGTGCCACTTTCAGTAACTTTCCCATTGTTTAACACTACAATTATGTGGGCATTGCTAATTGTGGATAACCTATGTGCTATTACAACTGTTGTCCTGTCCAACTTTACCTTCTCCAATGCATTTTGTACCAGTCGCTCTGATTCGTAGTCCAGTGCACTAGTTGCTTCATCTAGAAGTAAAATCCTTGGATTGCGTAAAATGGCTCTAACTATTGCAATGCGCTGTTTCTGGCCTCCAGAAAGCTGGAAACCTCCCTCTCCTACCTTATGTTGCAAAATAAGTCAAAAGAAAATTTAGTGCAAGATGGTAAAAGCAAACTCAAGACTTCCTATCAGACAATTATTTCCAACCTCAGTTGAGTAGCCATTGGGTAGACTTTGAATAAAACAATGAGCATTTGCTATTTTTGCAGCGTTAATTATATCTTCCATGCCTGCATCTTCTCTTCCATATAGGATATTCTTGGCAATGGAAGCTGAAAACAATGCAGGTTCTTGACTTACTAATCCCATTTGATTTCTTAGCCACTTCAATTGAAGAGACTTTATGTCATGACCATCCAGAAGAATTTTTCCTGTCAAATATTAGTATTAGATATTAGTTACCAGTTTTAATTGACCTAAGCAATCAAATGCTTAAAATTTTTTTTAAAAAAAAAAGATTCAGGTCATCTGAAAGAAATTAATAATACCCGAAGTTGGCTCATAAAATCTTTCGATCAGGGATATGATTGTGCTCTTTCCTGATCCGCTTTGCCCCACGATTGCATTAGTTCTTCCGGCTGTGATTGAAAAGCTTAGACCTTCAAAGATAATGCTTTTACGTGATGGGTATGAAAAAGAGACCTCACAGAACTCAATTTGGCCTTGCACTTGGGGTAAGACTGCTCCATTGGATTGTTCTGATACGTTAGAAACCTTTTCTATCATCCTTATGATAGTACTTGCTGCCGCTTGACCTTTAGCAAGGGAACTCAGGTTTGGAGCTGCTTGTCCAAGAGCACTGCAAAGGTAAAATTCCTATTAGTAAAGTTCGAATTGTTAAATACTGCATCTTTTTCCTGTTTATTAGTACTTACAATCCACTAAATATGACATTTATTATTGTCGTGAATGCTTTTCCACCATTGGTATCTTGATGCAGGACTAGGACTCCAGCATACCAAAGAAGTAGAGCCCAGGCACAGAAAAGTATCCCATATGTACAACCCACACCGACTCCTTTTGCAAGTCCGCTTTTCCTGCCCAGTTTCAGTGCATTTTCGAGTGATCTCGAGTATGCTGCTATAGCTTTGTCTTCCCCAACATACGAGTATACGGTACGGACTTGTGAGATTACCTAAGACAAAACAAAGATAAGGATAGTTGAGGTCAGTGGAATGCGCAGCTATACATTGGTGAGCAGGACATTCAATCAGTTCAATTATTTTAGTTCACAAGACTTGTTGATCATGTTGAGAAATCAAACTGGTTGAATTCAAATCCAAAACTGATTAAACTTTTGTTTGGTCGGTTTGGTTTGATAGTGAAAGAATCTAATTTTCTTTGAATCTACATTTTAGGCTTTGTTTGGGACGACTTTCTCGCTGCTTCTTAGAGCAGCTTTCTAGTACAAAATTTTAAATTTTTTATTAAAAAGCAGCTTTAAAAATCATCAAAACAGCCGTCCCAAAAGAAGCCTTAAACTGCAGTCCAATCAATAAACCAAACCAGTCTAGAAATCTGACTTCATTTCTGCATTTCCGATTGCCTTTTTTAGTTATTTGTACACGTTGATTTGGTTTTGTAGAAGTATGCATGCAATGCAAACAAACAAACAAAAATATGCCGTTTATTGTAACAAAAACTAAATAATTGTGAAGGGGTTTATGATCCAGTTATGGTAGAAATTATGTCTTCAAGATTTCGAGTTCTAGCTACATGCACTTTATATTTATTGCTCACTTTTCCAAAAAAAAAACTAAATAATTATTATTAGTTTTCAAATTGGACCAAACTGATCAAATTGTTTTGGTTGGCTAGCTTCGGTTCATTTTTTGTTTCTGCCCAATTAATGCACTCATCTGCTTAGTCTAGTGCATGCAAAAACTAATAAGATGCTAATATTAATTCTTGGTTCCCATGCAGCTCTTACATTTCAATAAGTCCACGTTTTTTTTCATATTCTCTTATATACCTGCTGCCTTCTCCGCTACTATATAGCCTCCTGCGTCGGATGACAAAATAAAACATCCATGGTTCGATTCAGTAACCTTGCAAACTCGCTTGCGGTGAAATATGTGCAGAGAATGGGGCTATCAATTTTCCGTTTTCTTTGCTGAATGAATTTTTCTTAAGCTTGGTCGATATGGTTGATTTAGCTGTTAATATTGAGTAAATTTACTTCTTGATGCAGTTGTTTTTACAATTTAGCATCATCAGTTTGCTAGATTATTCTCTGTTGCTATGCTATATAAGATATTCTGCCCGTGGATTCCTTTCACGATCGTTGATATCTATTGAATTCTCTATAAGAATCACAAAATTCTAAGCCTGACAAAGTTTTCTACACAGTATTATTTTAAACCCTTGTTGTATAAGTAGTGCCTACATATCAAAGTTAAAAAAAAAAAAAAGAGGTTTCCTAGTCAAAACATAGCAGACAAGATTTTCCTTCGACATAATCTATAACATTTTCTATGAGTAGAAAAATAGGTAGATTGCTGTTTTCTAGTGCGTGTGCAATCTTAAAAAGCCATTTCCCTGGATACTACTAGAATTATGCACATTAGAAAATCAAGTTATCTGTTTGACATTCAAAACTAGTATTTGTCACTAGTGAATAAAATTTTAGAACGCAAGGATGCTAAGTACCTCTTCTGCAACTTTCCCTGCTTCAGCATAGGCACTCTCACCTTTCTTTGCCAAACCGGCCATTACCACCGCATATGTGCCACCCGCAATGACAATCAATGGAACGACAGCCAAGGTAAGAAGCGTAAGCTGCCATACTGAGGTAAATCCGACGACAAATCCGACAAAAAATTGAGATAGGTACCGCAAACAGTGCCCAGTCTGCATATGATATAGAGAAAAAGTTTAGTTCTATCTTTGTTCTCAGACCTCAGTGAATTCTCAAACCATTAAGGCTTCGTTTGGGACGGCTTTCTTACTGCTTCTTAAAGTAGATTTCGTATACAAAAAATTGCTTTAAGAAGCAGTAAGAAAGCCATCCCAAACAAAGCCTAAGTTAATTATAATAACTCAAATTTATAAATCACGTCTTCCAAATAGAGCATTCCTTGACATGTTTTTGGATGCTATCAATAGCTTTATATTTAGATGGTTGTGTTCTTTGCAAGGGAAAAAAAGGGTGATATTGTTACCTTATCACCTATGGCATCCTGTACTAGTATAGCATCACTTGTTATATGAGAAATTATGTTTTCATCTCTTGCATCTGTGTCAAAGAAGCTAATGTCTTGTTGTAAAATAGATTGGATATACTTCACCCTAAGACGAGCTGTCTGCCTCTCTCCAGTCTGCATCCAAAATGCTACCCCTGCGTATATAATATGCGCATGATACTTTTATTAGATTATACTAGCTCCTTCATTCCATAAACATTTAGGTGGTTTCAATAGCTATTGAAACCTGCAATTTTGAGGACAAACCTATCCATGCAGATATCATGGCCACTGCTCCTAGATAGACCAACTCCAGTGCATGCTGCAATGATGGAACAGGTCAGTATGTTTATAAATTCTTTGGTAAAAAATATTATATTGTCCTCAGCGCATGAAAGTTTAACGCTTCATCTCTCTTTTTCAATATTTCAACTGTTTATTTATGCTAGCAATATAGTCTTTTTAAGACTTTGTTTGAGACGGATTTTTTAAAGCAATTTTCTAATATAAAAAATTAAAATTTGTACCATAAACTGTTTTAAGCAGTAAGAAAGTCATCCCAAATGAAATTTAAGTCAAAGAGATCTGAAAATTATGATTGTGAATTGTATCACCAGTCTAATATAGGGATCAAAAATATACCAAATGCAAGCACGGCTTACTATTGAATAGGATTTAATGGAAGGTCAGTTGAAATTTGACCAAATGAGCTTGATATAGCAATGGTAGAAAATGGGCATTGATGAAAAAGTATTTGACCAAATAACCACTTTTTTTTTTCTTCCAATAACGACCTCCTACTCGTTTTATGGACAAATGGTAGCTAATGAAAACAATACATGCAAAACATGGAAATTCTTACATTATAAATAGAAGGAATTCTTACATTTTGTCTCAAAATGTTTGGCTTCCTTCTATGTAGGTAAACATTGGCTTTTGAAACCTAGCAATCAATTCTATTCACTGTCATTTTGAAGAGATTTTTTTTTTTTGGATTAATTTGTTCGTTGTGCCCGAAGTTATGAGCATGTTTTCAACCTGAAGTATGTAGTGTATTGAATGCATACTTCTTGTTTGTCTTTATGTAAAGGCCCAACATGGATAAGTGAAATTTAGGCTTCGTTTGGAACGGATTTCTTACTGCTTCTTAATGTTGTTTTCTATTATTGTAATAAAAAACAGCTTTAAGAAGCAGTAAGAAAGCCGTCCCAAACGAAACCTTAATTGCATTCTAGTTTTTCACCTCAATGAAATCCTAATTTGTCATTTATCTAGTGGAGGATTCCTACCTTTCTTTCGGTGGAAGAAATCAAAGTTGCTTCTCCATCCTAGCTAAGAAATCATCAGTGGACATTTGAAAGAGTAAAATGAGAGATTATGGTAGAAAGATCTACTCATTTTTTTCACTATTTTCTTGTTGCTCTTTTAACAGAAAATCTAGCACAAGAAGGTTGAGTTCTTAGAGGGCACTTAACCTTTGAAACTTTGTCAGAAAGCCTCTGAGGATTTGAAGAAAGCGAACCCAACGAATCAATAAGCTTCCCAAAGAGAACAAAGAACACTGGAAGCGCAGCACCATGAATGCAGGATCCAATGCTTCCAAATAACATCAGAAGCCAGTCAAGCCGGTCGGCGAAATAGAAGAGGCTAAAATGAGGCGATGCCGGCCGCCTGAGTGAGCCTCCCTGCTCCGGCGACTCTATGCTTTTCCGTTGAGGAGTCTCACCGGCGGCGACCGCAGAGAGCTCAATGGTCTCCTCCACTCCCTGAAGTGCCATGAATGGCTTGTGCTTTTAGCTTGTTTAAGGTAAATGGGCACTGGTAAATCAGAAGAACAGTTCTAAGCTCTGTGTTCTACTCTTCATCTACGTCTCGTGATGCTTAAATGCCTTCAACTAACCCCGTGCTATACCCAGCTGGCCAACTAACTCTCTTTTTATGGTATGTTTTTGTCACAAAGTTCTGTGAAAACTACTTGTAGGGGACCGTTGCATGTGACCTCAGAACAGGACTTCTTACTTGGCATCCATTTGTCACAGTGAGCGAACAGGCAGTGGGACCGACGAGCATACTGAGGTGCAACCTTTTTTGATCTTTACAATCTACTTCATTATTGTAGCATTGTTCCACTTTCCAAAGTAATGTACACAATTAAATTGGGTCTACTTTTCTAAAGTGGTCAATAAAAATAGGAGATTGCAATTAATGTTTGTTTAGGGAGTTTGATTGGGCTACAAGGAAGGTGAATCCTAAATTAAATTAATTTTTGTGTAGATTTTGATAGTATGTGATGCTTTATTACATCGTGTATACATAGGTCATGGGTTCAAATCATGAGGATAAGTTGTTTGTAATGGGAGGGATACATGAGTACATCAAACGCTCTCGATCTTATATTGATGGGAGCTACTTGCATTAGGCACACACTTTTATTGTGATAGAAGATGCATTAATGGGATGGTTATATAAAATCAGTGTTGATTGATTAGAAAAAAAAAGGGGGGGAATATATGGTAGATTAGAATTTTTGCAAAAAAGATTTACTCATAAGTTTAATATTTTTAGTATACTAAGAAAGTAATAATAGAGAAAAATCATATTTAAGGAAGAATTTATTAGGATGATATATATTTGTTGTGTGCCAGAATATTCCTGGTGGTAGAGTGAGATGGAGAGTTTAATATCTTAGTTTCGTACAAAGATCTATCAAACACATGGATGAGAGAAAGTGGGGTGTAAGAGTCATAAGAAGCATCAGATTTTTTTACATGAAAAATCTAGGAAATGGAAAAATCATAAGGCATGTCCAATTAAATTTAAAAAAAAAAATAAGGCATGCCCAATTAAAATGATTTCATAGGTGTTTGTTTTTTTATTACAAATGATGCCCTTAATTGGAGGGAGGCGTTGGCTCAATGTATTGTTTATATCATATTACATGGTTGGAGTTGGATTCTACATGAGAGTTGTTCTCAAAAGAAAGTTGGCATAGTCGTTTAGTTGGTAGGATTGTAGTCTTGCGATAATGGTTGGAGGGATCGTAGTCAAGTAACGGTGGTTAGGGGGACGTAGTCTAATGATGGTGGTTATAAGAACCATAGTTAGGGGACTGAGGTCAGTGGGACCATAGTTGGTGAATGACGTAGGTCAGAAAAATCGTAGTTAGTTGGTGTTGGAGGTCCAGGGGGGGACCATGCCCGACGATAAAAGGTTAGAGGGATTGTAGTCGGCGAGCGATGAAGGTCTCAATGATCTTAATGAGAAGGCAATGGATGGCACAAGGATTGTAGTTAATAGGCAATGGAGGTCGGAGGGATCATAGTCAGCGGTCGATGGAGGTTATTAGGATCATTATCGTGTGATTATGGTTGGAGAGAATAGTTTGAGGGAAACTGTGGTTAAAGGGATCGTAGTTGAGCGATAGAGGTTGGAGGGAATGTTATCGGGCGGCGGGGGTCAAAGGATCTTAGTCGGCGAGCGATTGAGGTTGAAAGTTTTGTAGTCAATGAGTGATGGAAATCGGAGAAACCGTAGTCATGCGACGGAGGTTGGAGGGACTGTAGTCTTTCCATTGGGGTCAAAGGCATCATAGTGAGGCGATTGAGGTCCATGGGACCATAGATGGTGAGTGATAGAGGATAGAAGAGCCGTAGTCGGCTAGCGATGAAGGTAGGAGGGACCTTAGTCAATAGAGGTCATATGAATCATAATCGATGAGTGGTTATGGTCGAAAGGATCGTGATTGGCAAATGACTGTGGTCGAAGGACCGTAGTCAGACGATGATGATTGAAAAGATCATAATTAGCAGACAACAAATGCCAGAAGGACAACAGTCGAGCAACGATAGTTAGAAAGATTGTTGTCGCATGACAGAGGTCAAAGGATCGAGTGGGGTAAAGGCTCGATGTTGACGGTCGGGTGGTTGACAACCAGTCAAATTCCGGTGGTGATCGTCGGTAGACAAAAGTCCGATGATGGCGACAGAGCGAAGGTTATATAGCGATGATCTGATAGAGGAGGACCAACGGTGACAACCAGAAGTTGAAAGTCTCAATTGCAGCTTAGCGAAGATATGGCGGTGGTGGCTAAGAGAAGGTTCGATGTTGACACCCGGGCAACAAGGGTTCATCGGGAGTGGTGCTTTTGTGGAGCTTTGGTGGAGCTTTGGGATTTTCAAGCCTCAGAGCTCTCTTGAATATCTAACCCAGAGTTTAAGCTCCTCCTAAAAGTCTCATTCATGTAGAGAGTGTGATATTATTTATAGATTTTGAGAGTGACATGCTCTATAATATGAAGAAGATCCATGGAAATTGAAGTGCTTCATCGGACAACCATATTGATTCCCTAGAGTATGGAGCATTCGCCAAGCATTTAAGTTCTTTAATGATATCATAATTAAGTAATCTTGGGCTCGTTGGATTTGTGTCATCAAGCCACTCAATTTAACTATAAGCATGTTATATTTTGAGATCATTTGGTCATCCAATTCATTTTATGAAGCTTTCATACATGCTTCAAGCCCTTGGGCCCGTCTAATCTCAGATTAGACTGATTTTGGTGTCGTTGGATTCATCTCATCAAGACATTCAATTTGACTATAAGTTACTTGAATTGGAGTTTGGATAATCTATAATTTAATTTTTAAAGCTTTTAACTCGAACATGCCTCAAGAATCATGCTCGATCATGAAGATCTTTGGTGTCGTATCAATATTATAGTTATAAATATGATTATTTTCTTAATTATTTTTTTTATTTTTTATTGTATTCCTCTTCTTTGCCTATTTATGGGCACCTATTCTCAATTAATACAGTTAAAAAAAAAAATTCTTGCAATAAGATATTCAAGAAAGAATGCTTAGTTATTTTTTGCTCCTTTTGCCCACCTCACTCCTATTGTTTCTCTTCATGGAAGATCATGGTCACTTGCTCCAATTGCCCTATCACTCACAATGACTCAAGCACACTCCATTGCTCTCACAAATATGATATTGCCCTTAATCATCCACCCTCCAAATCAACTCAAGAAATATGTGAGTCATTCTTTGTTTCTTTTACTTTTAGGAGAGTACTATTTTTATTGTTAACTAAGCCTAATTAGACATCTTCTTTCTTAAACAAAGTGATATGCAAATCAATAATATTATAACATCTCTTGTTTTCAATTCAAAATAATATGTTGATATAGTTATCAAAGCCATTTTATATGGCATAGTATTTTGAACTTGAAAGAATTAGGATTTAGACTTCGTCCCAAACGGCTTTTTTACTGTTTCTTAAAACAACTTTCTAGTAAAAAAAAATTATTTTGTACTAGAATGCTGCTTTAAGAAGCAGTAGAAAAGCTCTCACAAAAGAAGCCTTAGAAATTTGATATTAAATTATTGCAATAATATTGAAGATGATGTTTTATTGTAGTCAATAATTTAGTTGATTAAAGACCACATTAATTACAATTAATGGCTTCTGATAAGGAAAATAATTCCTTCTTGAAATAATGTCAAATCTGATTTAGGATATCTAATTTTCTGACTGTTGAGAGTGAATGATTAGTTAGCACAGAGCAATAGCATAAGCAAAGTTTTGTCATTGGTTGTGATAAATTGCCTTAAAATGTAGTTAGGCTTTAAATAGAAGGAAATAAATTGACAAAGACATTTTCTTGTGAGATAGTGATAGCAATTAAATGGATTTATAGTTAGGTTTTGTATTATGAAAATTACATATAATATTCAGAAATTGTATTTTAATTTTAGTATATTTGTTGAATAAATCAAGAAATTTTAAAAAACACAACACTCAGGCCTCGTTTGATAAGGTTTTTTTTCTCTGTTTCCGTTTAAATACGCCGAAATCAATTAGTATTTACTGTTTGGAATCAAAGCTTAACAATAATTCCTTTTTAATAAACATCGTTTTTTCGGCGGTTACAAAATTCTTTTCGTATCTGCTTCTCATTATAAATCATTTGAAAATAAATTATTGAATTATGCTACTTTGTATTTGCATATTGAATAGTCAAATTATTTAAAGTTTAATGAATAAAATTAGTCCTAAGGTTTTTATTATGTTGCATTTTTTATTATTGATTTAATCTTAATTATCATAATTAAGATTAAATAAATTTTCATTTTTTTTTTCATAAATGAAATTTTACATTTTTTTTTCTTTTTTCTCATTTTAACGGCAGAAAACTCATCTTATTTATTGGTATAAAAAATTTTAATGTATTTATATATCATATAATTTTGTTTGCATAAATAGAATTTTAAAAAAATATATTCTACTTATATCTCCAAAATTTTAGAATTTAGAGCAATAAATATTTGTTAAAAAACATTATTGATATTTTAAAAATAATTAATTATCATTTGATGTTTATGGTTGAACCTTGCCTAAGCATTTATTACATTATTAGTATGTAACTAATATAATAATATTCATATTTATTAGGATAAAAATGTGATTAGCATTTAATGGAAAAGAGGTTATGTGATTTGAACAAGTATGGTTGAATATTAATTACTATGGGGAATATAAAAAATTGTTGTATGATCAAAGACAATAGTGGATGCAATTGATGGATTTTCAAGTACTTAAAGAAATTGCCATAAATAATTGTTTTAGGAGTAAAATGACTATAAATGATATCAATTTAGAGTTGATATCTTAGGAGCAGACATACCCTAAGGCCAAAGTGAGAAATTATCCTTCTTAAAAAATAAAAAAATAAAAAAAATCTTTTAACAAGATAGGGATTTTAATATTTCCCCATCGTTTTCAATAAATGTATTTTCTCAAAATTTTTTTAAAAAAATACTTAATAGTTTAATGATTCTCAAAAGAGAGGTTGGTTCCGCCCATGCTTATCGTGATGATACCAACAACATCAAAAGTGGCTAAATTCAATCACGTCAGGATAAATGAATCAAACTAATTACAGTTAAGTTGGATCAGCCAGCTTAGGTTTCGTTTAGGATGGTTTTCTTATTATTTTTTAAGTATTTATTTAGTATGAAATTTTTTTGAATTAGAAATTTGATTTAAAAAATAATAAAAAAAGTTATTCCAAACAAAGTCTTAATTATTGGCCTTCTTTCACCCCCTGAGAGTGAGAGATTATTACGTACGGAGTCCGAACGCAATATACATCTAGGTTTTGTGAAAGTAAAAAGCAAATACATAGTAAATGTACAGTTATGTAAAAAAAACTATATATTTATTATATATTCTCATAAATCCAAACGGTTC